GAACCTCTTTCTAAGGCTCGAAGAATTGAATATTTTCATGTTTGTCTCATAGAATAAGAATATAAATATAACATATTTAAACAAATAATAATTAAAATAAACAACATTTTTCATATATAATGATTAACTCGTTCACAGGGTATCCCAAGTTTCGGAGTGGTTCTTTCGAGTCTCTTAATTCTTTTAGTTACAGTTACACTCACACTCACGCACTGGGCGAAGAAGAGAGATGGAGAGAGAGAGAGAGAGAGAGAGAGAGAGAGAGAGAGACAGAGAGAGAGAGAGAGAGAGAGAGAGCATAAGCGTGTGGCTTGTTGTTGAGTGGTCCAAAAGGCGCCGGAGGCGACCAAACTTGACCAAGTCAATTCGATCCAAACGGAGGACGACCGATCGTCTAGGTGGTGCACTGGTGCCGGCTGCACTCGCTGAAATCAATCGATTCGACATTATTATTAATTTTTCATAACTTCTGCTGGCGGCCGGCGGCTGGCGGGCCCAGTGTGCAATATGGCGCCCTAAAACCCAGGCTCTCGATGCCATGTGAAACTAATTTGTGCGGGCAAAAAAAGGGCCGCCCTCAGCTCAGTTCGTCCACATCAGCGACTTGTCCGTTGGCCTCTTCATCGATCGCAGGGCAGCAGTTGGTAGTTTTTGTACTTTTTGCGTGTTATCTGCTATCGCTGCGCTTTGATCTTTTACCGCTTCTGCTTTGCATAATAAATTCGCTATCGATGAAAACTAACTTGCAACCTGGTCGGTCTTGGCCCTGGCACTTTGGTGCCTCTCTGGGGGTACTTGGGGTACTTGGGATTTCCCGGCAATTTGTTTGGCAGCGCTTGGCCAGCGCCCACGGCCATTGGCTGTTTAATTCGATTGCCTGTGCGATTTTCGGCTTCGGCTTAACCATTTTATTACAATAGCATAATTTTTTACTATGCTTAATGAGTTCTGCTTTGATTAGTTTTTTCTTTTTTTTTTTTTTAGATTTTTTGCCCTGTTTTTATTGTTGGCCCCAGTTGTGGCTGCAGCTTCAGTTTTGGCGCTTTGGGCATTATTTGTTGTTTGTTGGGTGTCGTTGGCAAAGGCTCAATTTGCCAAGGTGGAGCCTCAGCTGGAGCTGGAACGGGGATGCAAGTAGTTAGCATTTGCTTATTGAAATGTTGGAAATTGATTTTTCTGCCCCGTTTGGGCAACAACACAATCAACATACCAAATATTTTAAACTATTACGCGTACTAAATATGAGACCCAAACAGATTTCATCCATAGAAAACCTTCTGAAATATTCAAATCTTCTTTTACATTAGTCTAATTTTGATCAAGTTTGGTCTATATTATGAATACATCTCATATTCTTGCTCACTGTGAATTATGGTTTTAATTGTTGAACAGCAGCAAGGCTTTATAGATTATAAAATATACTGAAAAACATATAAGAACTATCATCAAGGGGAGAACATTAGCTAATCTTTATGTTTGTTTAAAAATGTGCACGAATTGTCTCACTACTTTAATACACTCTGTCAGTGTATTTCTATTATAATAATTTAAACAAGTTTCGCTTTTCAATGTGCATGCTTTATTAATATTAGCCCAAAATATTTTATTTAAATGTATCTTTGCGTGCAATTTACGCAAACCCAAATTGAAAATGCGTTAAGCAAGCTGCACTGATGGTTTGAACTGCTTGTTAGAACTGCTTGTGTGAACTGCTTGTGTGAACTGCTTTTAGAAAATGATTGTGATATTCTGATATGCACTCAGGTTTTGTAAGGCAAGTGTGCTATTTGTGATAGCACTCAAAGGCTGACTGCTGCGCGCCTCGCAACTGTTACAGGTTTAAATTTTTAATCTGTGATAGTTTAGGTTTTTGATTTTTATATAAAATACTGCCAACAATTTTTGCGATTATGGAAATTAACTAGTAGTAAAAGTGGCTTTTTAAGTATTTTTATTTATTTTATTTTAGACGTTATCAGTTTGACACTATCAGTGCGCGTATTACCGTTAAGCTGCGGGGGGCAACGGGAGTCACTGGCGCGCATATAATTTATGTGAACAAATCCATATATATGCACATATGTAAGTATATGAGTGAGTCCAATGTTTCGGCGCGTGTCTCTCTACTAGGTTCCACACCTGGTCATTTTATTTTCGGGCATTCTATGGAGGCCTTGACATTGCGCGTGTAGAAGTGCCTGCAGTGCCAAACAAATTTTAAAAATAACAAAAAGAACACCGAAAATAACGAACACAAACAAAAATTAGCTTCGACACATGCAGGAAAAACCGGTACCCAAGTACAAGTCGACTTATTTGTAGTATGATTATTGATATTGTTTTGTTACATGCGCGATTCGCTGAGTCGTCTAAAAATATCCGCCGGACATCTATTGATAACCGTACATATATCGCTGGCTGTCATCCCATATTGCTGACATTATTTTGGCAAGCGCCGACATAAAAGCGTCTCACATACATTTCAATGTCCATACGTATTGCAGAACTGGGCGCGTGTCGGTAAATTACTTTTTTTAAACAAAATACGGACCATCTAATTTTTACACACATAATTCATGTTTTGACCTGTATAGATATAACTTTTTGCATGAAACCCTACACAATGTATAAAATGTATTTATGTGAAACATGGATGTGTTTCCCAACATGTTACAATTAATAGAATATGCAATGATCTTCGAACAGGTTCAAAGAACAGGGCAAAGAACGGATATACTTGTTTAATGTATACAGTGAAGGCTCCCTTTAACGAACACTCACCGTGGTTGTGTTTATGTCCGGTTATAGCCGGAACCCATAATAATGTTAGACGGCCGCTTATATGTGTAATATAAATTTTAAATGCCTAATTGTAGTTAAGCAAAAAGAAACAAAATTATTAAGAATTTTTTAAAAGGTAGTGCCTGCGTCCGATTGTGGCAGCTTTCCGTTATGGAAAGTTCAGGCCAGAATTCCTTTTAAGAACATCTTTAAAAAAACACGTCGTGCGTGCTTCTGTCGCGCGAAACAACACGACACGAGCTCACCTCTATTCCATATACCTGATGTGAATTGGGTTCGCATAAACAATATTTCTAATGCACATTTTATTGAGCTATTTTTAATCCAGATTTGTGTGCTATTTCAACAGTTGTATTGAGCAATTGGTAATGTATAACCAATTTTTATTTGATTAATTTCTACATTTTTGTCAATATACTTATTCAAAGAGCATGCGATTTTCGTTGTGGATTCAATTCATATAAATACTTTCTTGTTTTCGTTTGTTTAAGACCATAAACATTGACCGTGTCGCTGTATCGGCTGATGGGTTGCTTGGTTATTGGGAAAGGGGGCGGGGGTGTTGTTGCGGCTGGCGCGTGTTTGATTCGGCTTGCAAAAGTAAATTTGCCACCGTCTGATTACGCACTTTTAATGGTCATGGCCGGCGTGACGCAAGTGCGAGACAACAGCATGGCACGCCCCCGTTTCCGTTATGCGCCCTCTGTCCCCTTCCATCTGCGTCCGCCGAGTGCAAGTTAATTTTCCATTTCGTTGGCGCGCATAACTTTTACAGCAACTCTGACGCCATTTTAGGGAGTGGAATGATCCAGACCCCAACCCCCCACCACAAAACACTCACCAGCAGCCCCTACATTTGTTTGCTCTCCTTTTGCTTTGTTCGACTCGCGCTCTCACACGTGTTGGCAATTGAAACTGAGAAGTGTCTGCCGCAAAGCAAAAAACAAAAAAAAAACAAACACACACCCACGCCCACCTATTAAAAAACACACATAGACATTGTAAGTAGGTGGATAGTGAAGAAGAGAGGGGCGACAGCTGATGACTGTCGAGAGGCAACTCATGTGTTATGCTAATTTCTTCTTTGTTGTTTTCGCTACGTCTTTTTCATTGTGTGTGTGTGTGTGTGTGTGTGAGAGTCTGTGTATTGCTTTGCTTTGGTTTTGCAGTGTCTCGATTTGACAAAGAATCACAAAACCGGAAAGCTGACCCGCTGTCTCTGTTTACCGTTAACTGGGCGAGCGTCACCTGCTCGTGGCCTAGGGCATTGAATTACCTTTTTATTAGTCCGTACAGCGCGCTTCAGCGTGAGAGAATCTAACAAAATATTCACAGCCACAAACACAACCAGTCGCAAACACACTCATACACTCACAGAAACCCAAACCATTGAAAAAGCAATCGGCCGTAACAAAATTTCCGACACGTGCGACAAAATTGACTTAAAGGGCGGTGGAGCCAGGTCGGGTGTAACCAAGAGAGATAGAGAGAGACAAACGCGAGCTAGGCCCAAAGATAAAATGCTTACACATTGTACTGCTTCAGCATTTGTTGCGTCAGCATTTGTTGCGTCAACATTTGTTGCTGGCAACATTTTTTGGTTTTGGCAGGCAGCAAAAATAAACGCGTGGGCACTTTTAGATGAAATGTGTGTCAATAATTTGCCAAGATTAGATTTACAGTTTTAAAATTAGTGGTTCTACGATTGATTGTTGTTTGTTTTGTTTTTTATTTTTTTGTTTATTTTTTTATGCTTACTCGCACACGCAGTTCGTTTATTGATTCAAGAGTGTTTCGATAAGGTGTACGCATAATGCTGCACGAACTGCTAAGGTTATAATGCTATGAACACAATTAACCTTGAATTTCGTTGTTAGAGTCGAAAATATGAATGAACATGCGAAATGCCCAGCAAAAATTAAATATGCTTTAAAGGTATGGTTATAAGCATATAGTTAGTTGATTCTAAAGTTTTGCTTGTTGTAGTTTGATCAGAAATATGATTTTCCAAGAAAGTTTTTTATTTAATTCGACCAAGCTTAACAAATAATAATGCGCCCATTGCTTTGCCTACCACTGTTGTGGTAAACACACTTTCGACATTTGTGTCGGGTGTGCAGCCACTGCTTCTGCCAGCGTGTATTTAAACGACGCGCAGTGGTAGCGCGGCTTCATTCTGCTGTGCGCTGTCGTTGGATGCGATTCGCCAAAATAATTCTGCTAAATAAAACTTCATAGCTCCAAAGCACTCAGCATTTACGTACTTCGTGTTTGAGTGAGCACTGCTGAGATTGTATAGGCATATTGGTGTATGTGTTTGTGTGTTTTAGTGCTGGTGTCTATCGCGTAACGAAAGCGAAAGTTTAGTTTGCGCGCGTGTCGCCAACAGTAGCGTCGTTCGCGTCGACTGTCTCCAATCGCACATCTCGCGTCGCAGTCGCCGTCGCAGTCAGCGCCACATTTATCGTTGTTGTTTTTGTTGTTGTTGTCGGTGAGACTACCCAGAAAGGAATAGATTAAAAGCGTGTGAAAACAACAAGAATGCTCATTAGTTTCAATGAGCGTGCAATAAATAAAATAAAACGTGTTTATGCTGTGTCGCCCGCTCCCTGCCTTCTAAGTGTGTGTGTTAGAGTGTGCCCAGCAACAAAGCAGCAGGCAACAGCTGTTAAGCAACAACAACTGTAAACGTAAACATTCCTGCTACATTTTCTGCTCAACGCTTTCCAACACACCAACGGGTAAGTTACCTATTCGCATAAATTGGCCCATTCATCTTCTAGTATTAGCCGTTCGCTTTTCAACACCATAAAAAGAAAGATGAAAACATAAATAAATGTTCACGAGCCACACGTGTCGCCTGCTAGAATTGCATGTCACGAGCAACGTTCAATATCGAAGAGAGCTTTTAGCTCGCAGTCGCCGCCACTTACTCTCGCGTAATCTAGCTCGTTTTTGCTATTATCAATATAACAGTGTGTGTGTGTGTGTGCGTGCGTGCGTGTGTATGGGCATACATTACAGAACTTTGTGCCTTTGTGTTCTGCTTATGCTGCCCGCCATGCAGCAGAGCTCCTAATCAAATTTTTTGCGTCACCTTCTCAAGGACGAACATAGAGTATACGCGTCTGTGCTCAAGTGTGGGTGTGCATGTATTTGCCTGTGTATGCTTCTCTCTTGACTGCTGACGCATCCTGTTAGCCCTTTGGCCTTTTGTTCGCACTGCACGCTGCGAGTGCAGTTGCCCAAGTGCTGCACATGGCGTATGCGTGTTGTTGACTTCTCAAGTAAGCATAATCTAAAAATAAAATATACTAGATTTAAAAGCATTTTAAATTATAAAAACTGTTAAAAATATAATATAAAAATGCCAGTAAAAAAATAACTAAATACAACAATAACACCCATTGTTATAAAAAGTTAAAAGCGCAGCCAAACATCTGTACAACATTTTTTATCTCTTTACAAATGCTGGGTTTTTCATAACATTTGCACAGCTCCACTTGATTTTTCCAAGAACTACTTTTATGTTAATTGGCCGTTGATGCTTCCGTTCCCGTTTTCTGGTACCAGGCCCATTTGTAGAATTCTCAATGGAAAGTGCCGCTCATTAAGTGGAGCGTGCAAAGCGTTTCATAAAGTAAACCTTAAAAAACAAGTAAGAGGTTCTAGTCGGGAGCTCCCGACTAGGGGATACCCTGAACCCTCTTCTTTCAACATCAAATGCATATATATATTCTATTTTAGAAGCTATATGTCAAGTTTGGCGACTCTAGCTCTTATTATTTACCAAAATTTCCCAAAAAACAGGATATCGATATGGATTTTTATCGATTGCTTGGAAGCGGAGTAAGTTATCGATTATCGGAAACAAACTCGATCTGCGCAGGCACCAGGAGCACCTACATCTAAATTTCAAGTCTCTAGCTCTTATAGGTTCTGAGATCCTTGCGTTCATACATACGGACGGACGGACGGACGGACGGACGGACGGACGGACGGACAGACGGACAGACAGACGGACATGGCTAGATCGACTCGGTGCTCGATTAAGAATGCTGATTAAGAATATATATTCTTTATGGGGTCGGAGATGCTCCTTCTGCCTGTTACATACATTTGGATTTTGCACAAATACAATATACCCTTATACCCATTTTTAATGGGTTCAGGGTATAAAAAACCAAAAGATAAAAAAAAAAAACATTAACAAATGCGTATTGCTTGTCGTAAGCGGCGGTTTATTATATTTTTATTTATTTTTATCGTGTTCAGCAGAAAAGTGAATCCAGCTGTGACTTTGACAACATATTCGACATAAGTATGTGAATTAAGGCCTTTGTTTGGCTTCGAATTCGACTTTGATTCCGGCAGGCGCTGCAATTGTGGTCATTATTTAAGCAATTGAAAACCACATAATTCGTAGCTAATAGAAATAAGTAAATTAAACGGAAATTATAATAAAGTAATTTCAATAAACAATGTATATAAATGAATTGAGGTGAGCAAATAATTATCAAATTAATCTTAGATTTCACACTACGATTAATGGAAAGGCCTTCATATTGAATACGTATACGTAGTACTAATGGTACATACATATATTCATCAAGCGGAAGTTATTGAAATATGTAAACAATCCTTTAAAGTGTGTAACAGGAACAGGGTAGCCCTTCCATACATGACACCCCGTGGCGTGTCCATAATAATATATTTATAATTAAGGCTCGAACGCGTTGTGCATTGATACTTCAAGCTTAACCAAAATACACAAACAAAAGACCTTCGAAAATAAAAACAAACAGCAGCGAAAAATAGCAACAAGAAAATCGCTGCAAACGAACGGGCTCTCTGCTCCGCATTGTATTGGCAAAAGGGGAGAGAAGCGCTGCCAGATCGACTACCCCAGCCGCAACACGTGCGCCGTTGAATCAATAAAAAAACAACAAGAGCAAATCACACCCCACACACACACACACACACATGCACATACACACACGACCATCAGAGACAGCAGCATAAAAATTCATTAACATCATGTGAGAGTGTTTTCGTGTGTTTGTTAACTTTGAAATTGTGCACCCAGCGGAACTTTTGCGGTTCTTTTTGCATGTACTCTCACGCGCCCTACATTTTTAATTTGAATATACGAAAATGGCATGCGAGAGACAGTGTGTTTGGAATGCTTTTGTATTTGCTTGCCTAAAAGTGTTTAGCTGGGTGAATTTTTGTTGTTTTTTTACTCACTTGATGGCTTGTGTTGCGCTCCCTTTCCCCGCACACACACACACACACACACACACACACACACACACACACGAACACACACACACACACACCAATTCACAGTCTGTCTGTCTGTGCGCAGCTCGTGGCAACGAAATTATCGCCATTTTGCAGTCGCCGTCGCTGCCGCTGCCGCGGCCGCTGTCGCCGTCACAGTCGACGTAGCTGACGGCAGCGTTCGCTTCTCTAACTGCGATTGAATGACAAAGTCTTTTTAATTTATGCAGGCAACTACAAATTAATTCGCTTTTTCGTTTTAAATTTGGCTTTTAAATTTTATACCGGCTTCAGCTCCGACACGTGTATGGAATCGCCTTATGTGTGTGTGGGTATGTGTGAGTGTGCGTGTATTAAGCCAATTTTCAAATGTTACAAGCGGACTATGTTAAAGCATATACAAGTTAAATACATTATACGCTGCTTAACGGTAGCAAAACCAATAAAACTTGACTAATTTTCAATGACAATTAATTTTGTTTTATTTTTTATGTTAATTTTACGGCTTATTAGGGAGCTTAGTTATATGTCCCTTTTATTTTCATGAGATATTAGGAAATGAAGCCGGGTTTTTTTGTTTTTATTGCTTACGCTGGTTATTTGCGAAATATTATTTGGACTGTGCAAGGATTAGATAAGCATTGCATAAAAGTAGAAATATAAACCAGTTTCAGTGCTCTTGTCGGGATGCCCCACTATGGGATACCCTGCACCTTCTTCTACCAACACAAAATGCAGCTCGCTCTAGGAGCTGGTGGGGAGGGGGGAAAGATTTTTCATTTGTATATACTATTCAAAGAGCTACATATCATGTTTGGCAACTCCAGCCATTAAAACCAAAGAGAGAAAACCAAAATTGGATATCGATTCTTATCGATAGCTTAGAAACGGGGCAAGTGATCGATTATCGGAGGTAAACTCGTACTGCTTGGGAACTAGGATATCGTACGTTTCAAGTCTCTAGCTTTTGCAGGTTCTGAGATCGCCCCGTTTATACATACTTAAGGACAGACGGAGATGACTAGATTGATTCGGCTATATATACTTCACGGCGTCGGAGATGTTTCCTTTTACCCATTACATACATTTGCACAAAACCATTATAAATTTTTTACTCATTTTCAAAGGGTTCAGGGTATTAAATTAATGTGTAAATAGAAACAAGTAAGAGGTTCTAGTCGGGAGCTCCCGACTGGGGGATACCCTGAACCCTCTTCTTCCAACATCAAATGCATATATATATTCTATTTTAGATATATATACCCTTATACCCAATTTTAATGGATTCAGGGTATAAAAACTGCCGCTGAAATACATTTTGATTTTGTACAAACTGCATGTTAAAATGTAAAATACATATTATGTAATTTGTGGCAGACCTCATGACTTTCCAGTTTTAAAACAAAATAATTTCTAACTACGTGAATGCTGTCAGTCTTAAGATCCAGACTATATATCCATAATACTATCGATATTCGCTTTCCAGCTGTCAATTGTTCGCGGTTTCATCTACGGTAATAATCTTTACATTATTTTGGCTTCAAATGAGGTTTTTGTGTGTTTTTTAAATAGATCATACATTATTTGCGAATACCGTGTAAGAACTTCTCAGTACCACATGGCGTATGAGTAATTATTTGTTGGTCCTCGTTTATTATTAGCAATGCCTATATACAGCACGATAAGAATTTCGTTGGGTTGTCGCTGAACGCTTTCAAACCGTTTTTATTTAGGCATTCGCATCAATCAGATTATTAAATTTTCACAAATCATAATGAGATTTTCGGCCATTAGCACAGTGGCACATCGTAAGCAATATGAACACATCGGGAGCACTTATATTAGCGGCAGTGTAGCGCCAATAAATACAACAGCGATAACTAGAAGAGCTAATTACTGACCCAATAATGCGAGTCACACGCCATCACATATAACTGTAAATTGCCACACGCGCGTGCTGTTTGCTTTTGTGTGTGCGAGTTTGTGTGTGTATCTGTGTGTTTGTGAGTGTGTATGCGTCGTCTTTCGCCGTCTCTCGCCGACAGTGCACTCGAACATTGTGTGCGCATTGTGATGACCGGCGGTCATTAAGTGTCGCACGTGCGGCAGTTTTGACGTGACAATAGACGAAGGTAAACAGAGAACAGAGACACTGAGCTGTCTTTGATCATTGTATATACCCTGTCAATGTAGCAACGGGTATTTCAGCTTGGCTGTGAGTTTGGCAACAAAAATTGTTTTCATATAAATCAAGTTGCAGTCTTTACTTTTTATACATATCCGAACTTGCAAAAGTAATTTGCCTTTAAATAATGGAAAGTGAATTCAATAAAGTTATAGAAAAATTTGGATTAGGAAAACTTGAAAATATAGATTCACTTAACTGTTGAAAAAATCATATATTTGTAATATTTTACTTAGTAAATTTTTTTATTTGCATAACAATATATAACGATTT